CAGATTCTGCAGAGTGGGAGAATAGAGAGAGAATGAAGATGAAAAAGGGGTCCCTATGTCCTCCAGCAGTCTAAGGCTATAGCAGTTCTTCTTAACTTATCAAGAACTTATCTTCAACGTATGTGACGTGTTCCAGACCAGCGCTGAACGTGTTTCTAACTACCAGCTACTGTATAATGGTGTGACAACCTGCTTGTTGCACACAGCTGGCTGCACCGTTATTCATAAACCCTCCTGCTTCTTCACAGCTCAAGACACGCCTTCTTTACGCCCATTAAACACATGCACTTACCTGATTGGTCCGCTGTTCAATCTGGCTCCTAGCTCCAGTTTGAAAAATGTCAGCGTCTCAGCAGACAGCGTAACAGAAACAACTGCTGCTACGACTTCTGCATATTCCGTTCTGTTAACCAGAAACAAAGCCCATCCGAGGCTGTTTAATCCCTCGTGCTTTCAGTCTTTTGCTTCTGTTCTTCTGCATGAACACCACCGATCATTAAGGAAAAGGAGAAAACCAAACAAACAAACTTCATTCTGTGCTCCTGCCGTGCCGACATGTCACCACAATTACCCGGATGCCGGTGACGTCACAGTTAAACATCCTCCGTAAGTGCTACGCTTACTGAAAATATAAAATCAAATGAATCATTTTGCTCCTTTACGAAAAATAAAATAAACTTTAAATATATTCATCCAGTAAAAACCATCAACAGAAAACCTGTTCCAGCTCCTGCCTCTGAGCAAGATTTATCTTTCTCAAGATGTGCCAATTAAACGAGTCTCACCTGCTAAACTTCAGATGATTAAGGATCATGTAGATGAAATGCTGGAGAAAGACATCATTGAACCATCCACATACGCCGCTCCTGTTGTCCTGGTGCCTAAAAAAAATGACCCCAAACTGCGTTTTTGTGTCGACTTCAGAAAACTAAATGCAGTCACACATACAGATGCATATCCATTGCCAAACATTCAGGAAATCCTGGAGTCTCTTTGTGGAGCAGTGATTTTCACTACACTAGACCTGAACAGTGGTTACTGGCAAGTCCGAATGGATCCAGAAAGCTGTGAAAAAACTGCATTTGTCTGCACATATGCTGAATTGGCAGCGTCAGAAAGACAGCTGGAAAGAAAGTTGACCTGAAACTATTTTGTGTTTGTTTTTAAGAGTGTCGGTTGGACCTGCATCGACAGCTTTCTCCTTTAGCTACATCCCTCAGTAAGCAGGTGCAACTGGACGCTCCTTTGGTTTTAAAAAATCCGACCAGAACCCTAGAGCTGCTGTTCCTCTCTGTCTCTTTGCTGCTGGCCCGTCTCTGTGGTCATTGCATGTCTTATCTGATCTCACATTGCAGGCGCTGCAACTCTTTGTTCAGCCTCTCTCATCCTGGCAGGTTTCAGACGTCAAAACAACCAGAACTACAAAGATAAGGAGTCGCTGAGCCGATGATATGGAGCCTGCTGCGGACCGTCCAACAGAGGGTTTCCATTTAGCATTAAATGAGACATTGGGGGGTCAAGGGGATGTTGACCAGAGAGCCAGAGGGAGGGAGAGGCGGCTGAAGGAGGATTAAGTCTGGAGGAAAGTTCAGGCTCTTTCAGTGAGCAGGCTGCCATCGCTCTGCCCGCGCAGTGATCACGTGCTTCCATGATTAGGCTCATAATGTGAGCGTGGTGTTCATCTCCAGGCTGCAGATCTGGGCCTGTTCTGATTAATGATCACATCGATTGAATCACTGCAGCGTTTCATGATTGTTCCGTCCCTCAGGATCCTAGGTCTGCTCTTGGAAATGCTTTCGGATGCTTCTCTGGGCTGCAGGCCGTCCTGTTCCCGTCTTCCTCTACTGTTTACTAAACCCTGGTCACACAACCTGGATTTAAATTCCAACCTGAGGGCCTTTCAATGTCAAATTTGTCCATTTTCTCCCAGACAGTAGTTTTCCTGGTTTGCTTGTAGTAATCAAAGCCAGTCAATCATAGTTTGTTTTTGAAGACGCTCTGAAGCATTTAGCTCTCCCCTCTGCAGGGTGGAGCTGAGCCCACTTGGTAAACAACTGAATTTTAATAACCTAATAATAATTTTAATAATAATGTTGAGTTCTCCATAGGCTGCATTAGTCCCAACATCATCTGCTGTGGGTGGACGTCACACTGTGTGTGGGGATCCACAGTGAAACATGGTCTCTCAAGGCTGATTTATACTCAGAAACAGGTCGTCTGAGTGTGTGTCACAGTGAATGCAAATGAACCCGCTCTTTTTGGCCCTCATGTCACTCCGTTGTCGCCAAACTTGCCCCTTTTCCTCACCGCCTCGGCCGAATCTAGACCCACAGCTAGTTCCTGATTGTCCCTGTTGCGTTGTGGCGTGGAATAACATTAGCCTCGTGAGACCATCCTTTGATCTATCAATTGTTAGTACGTCATATGTTTCGTTGATCTGATTGGTTTATTTGGCCCGTCTATCACCAACATAGGCCAATCAGCTAACCAGTATTTCCGCCCCTTCCCAAAATTACTTCAACGTAAGGTTTCCAGATGGATATGCGGAGCAAATCCATCTGGCGGAGTCAGGTTAACTGAACCCCACCTCAAGGTCATTACTGGATTTGATCCTACTTGAGGCAAAATATTCACCGAAAGAAACAAAATTTTCCAGTAAATTTGACCTTCCAATATTCGCCGGGAGAGAAAAACATGGAAAAATCCTGGGAAAAAATTGCATCTGGAAGAAACTTCCAACTCTTGTTTGACGCAGGTTCCTCTGTAGGAGCCTTTAACTTTGGTTTCATCCGTCCATCACTGATTTTTTTTTTCTTTTAGACCTCTTTCTCTGCTTCCGCTCTCTTGGTCTGCCTTGGCATTTAGACTCAGCACTCTGTCTACCATATCAGGCATTATTGATGCCAGCTAAATGGATGGATTGTAGATTTTCATTCAGCAGCTCTGCGGTTGTCAATTCATTTTAGATGAAAAGGGAACCCTATGTCCTCCAGCAGTCTAGGCCTATAGAAGCATAAATGCAGAAAGTAGCTCAGGGTAACCTGGGTATTTTGGATGAGGTGTAGGAAAGTTAGAGCCACAGTGTGGCCAAGCTAGAGCAAAGGACTGACGCTCTCTTCCTGTGTGTGTCTGCAGTGTGTGCTGTACTTGTGGGCTTTGAAGATCAACCACCCCGACACGCTGTTTCTCCTCAGAGGGAACCACGAGTGCAGACATCTCACAGAGTATTTCACATTTAAGCAGGAGTGTAAGTGTCCCACTTTCACCGAGTGACGCATCTGAGAGTGCTTGGTGCTCAGCCGGTGTGTTTCTGTGTCCTTCAGGTAAGATAAAGTACTCTGAGGAAGTGTATGATGCCTGTATGGAGGCGTTTGACTGTCTGCCCCTGGCGGCGCTTCTGAATCAGCAGTTCCTCTGTGTACACGGAGGTTTGAGCCCTGAAGTCACCTGCCTGGATGACATACGCAAGGTGAGACTGTGTGACGGATCAATGGTCCGTGAGGTCTGAAAGGTGTTAATTCTACTTAGCTGTGGAAATGTGAGAAAATGTCTTAAATGAAGTGTATTTACCCTTAATTCGTGTAGCTATATAAGTTGATTTGTCAGTAAATTAGTTTTTTACCTCTTAAAATAAGATAATGCAATTGTTTTTATTTTAAATGCAAATTTGTTTTTTCCATTGGCACAGTGTCTTACCCCCTCCATTCCAGTAAACATTTCAGATTTCAATTTTTTGAAGTGTATTACTTTTTTCTGGGTCTAAAGTTTAAGTTTTGGACTTTTTGAAACGGTGGTTTAGATGCAGACCTAGAAAGCCTCTCCTGTTCTGACATCCTAGTAAATGGTTAACTTTGAAGGTGCTGTTCTACATCATCATCCCGAACAGGTTTGGTTCAGAAAGGGATGCGTTTGGCTAAAAGAGGATCCATGAAAGAATGTTATAAAAGGAGGAAACGTTTAACAGTTTGGGTTTTCAGGGAGTTAAATTCAATTCAAGCTACTATGATGAGAAAAATCAGGAGAGCAGAACGTTAGAGATTGATCTAACACATACTGCAGGATGGGAGAAA